TCTGAGTGGCAGGCAGTTGCAGCAGCAGCAGCAACCATCACTTTTTAACGTGTAAACAAAAAACATCCCCCCCTCCCAACGGTAACTCCATGCTGGGGCGTTCAAGGGGAAAAAAAGGATGGGTTGTGTGGCCGGCCGGTTCGCGACATCGTAAAGTTGCGCCCCCGAAGTGCAACCACCACCACCACCACCCCCTCAAGATTTGGGGAAGGGGGCGCCCCGCTCGCCGATTCGCCTCGCCTCCCTCTTCTCCGCTCGGCGGGGCTCTCTTACCTCCCTGGCCGGGGCTTGGCAAAGGAGCGGAGAGTCCGGCCGCTGGCGACTCCGGGCTCTTCCCCTCGGCGGCCCGAGGGCTCCGTTCATGCTGTTGCGCTTCACCGGCAGGAGCGCCACCGGCGAAGCAGGAGAGGAGGAGGCATCTCCGCAGACCCCACGCCTCTCGGATGGGACTGGAACTCAGGGCCCGGGCAGCGATGCCCTCCGGCTTCGAAACCCCAGAACCCGAAAAGTAACAATAAAAAACATCTACTAATTGGCCCAAGAGTTGAGCAGCCGTCCCCGCCCTCTCAAAGGGAGAGGGGGCCGGGCGCCTGCCTTTCAGGGGCGGATCCTACCCTCCTCCGGCTCCACCTCCCTGTTGCCCGGGGGCGGCGGGAGATCCTATCCCCCCCCGGACTACATCCTCACGTACCCTCGTTCAAACTGAGACGGGAGGGGGCAAGGTTCCCGGAGAGGCGCCTGCAAGGACGTGACGCTGCGCAGGAGCCTGCCGAGCCGGGGGATCGCGCCCCTCAAACCCCGGTGACTCCATCCAGGGCTGGCTCTGCAGCTTGGCTCCGTTCTCCGTTCTTCGGAGTTTCGGGCGCGCCTCGGGTGCCCCGTCAGTCCTCCGGGTGGATCGCGGGCGCACCTTCTGAGCCATAGTAGGGAGCTTGTGGCCCAAGCAGAAGGAGCGGCCTCGGGGTTGTGGGGCGAGGCGGTGCCTGCCGGGTCCCCACAAGCAGCCCAAAGCATTGCCTCAGTAACCGCGCCCCCTTCCCCGCCTTCCCACACCAGGAGAAGCACCGCCCGCTTCTTCTGTTTGGACGGCTCTGGGAAGCCAAGGCCCAGTCGTTCGTTTATTGTAAATATATATACTGTATATATTCCTGCCAAAGCCTAGGACACATTTCTTCTAGGAACTGACCGGATTGTATTTGCAAAGCCTCGTGGCCCTGCCTAGAATTCTTTTTCTCTGGCTACTTGCCAAAGTGGACAGAGTGAGGGACTGGGACTCTGGAGGTCTGGGTTCAAATCCCTGCTGAACCATAGAAACTCACTAGGGGTGTGGAACCGGTAAAACCACGGCTTAAATATCTCACTTACCTTGGAATCCTTTCCAATGCAGAAGTACTGCGTCTAGTTCTGGACACCACACTTCAAGAAGTATAGTCTCACAGAGTACTGTGTCTAGTTCTGGACACCACACTTCAAGAAGAATGCTGACAAATTGGAACAAGTTCAGAGGAGGGCGACAAGGATGATCAGAAGATTGGAAACCAGGCCTTACGAGGAAAGATTGAAAGAAGTGGGCATATTTAGCCTTGAGTAGTCTCACAGAGTACTGTGTCTAGTTCTGGACACCACACTTCAAGAAGAATGCTGACAAATTGGAACAAGTTCAGAGGAGGGCGACAAGGATGATCAGAAGATTGGAAACCAGGCCTTACGAGGAAAGATTGAAAGAAGTGGGCATATTTAGCCTTGAGAAAAGAAGACTGAGGGGAGATTTGATAGCACTTTTCAAGATTGGAACCCAGGCCTTACGAGGAAAGACTGAAAGAAGTGGGCATGTTTAGCCTTGAGAAAAGAAGACCGAGGGGAGATTTGATAGCACTTTTCAAATACAGTACTTGAAAGGCTGTCATGCAGAGGAGGGGCACGATCTGTTCTTGATCATCCCAGAGTGGAAGATGCACAAAAATAGGCTCGAGCTACAGGAAGCCAGATTTAGGCTGAATATCAGGAAAAACTTAACTGTTAGAGTGGTAGGACAGTGGAAAGGGCAGCAATTATATCTTTACCATGGCATTTCTTTTTTCTTTTTTTGTAAAAAATCCTCCAGGTCATCCATACTCAGAAAGCACAGGCTTCTTTCTCTCCCAAAGGGCCTGTCTCCCATACATACACATACACACTAATTTATAATCCCACTTCAAAAGGTCAAAGAAGACATGATTTAATAAGGGCTATAACATATAAAAGGTGACCTACAACTGCCTAGAAAACATTTCATGACCCCATTGGGGGTCATAATCCCCCTGGTCAGGAAACACTGCCCTAGTGACTGTCAAGTATTTATGAAATGTATGTGTTAGCACACTTTGCCATGGATAACTTTAAAATTATTGTCTGTAATCCAGTTGTACTGCTACACAAAAGGCATAAGAGACTAATTATCTCAAGTTCAGAAATCTCCAAATATGTTATCTGTTGCATGCTATGTGGTGCGACTCAGTATGTAAAAAATAATGGTTGCAGAATTGTTTCTGGGACCAAGTTAAGTTTATCTGTCAAGGGATAAACTGTTTCATAACCATATGGTATAGGAAGACAGAATACTACCATAGTGTGCTAAGAAGCCTTGATCACTATTAAGAAATGAACCAGAACCTGTTTATGTAGCCAGTTTCTGCTGTCTCCCTTTGTAATTTATTTTTTCTCCAATAGTCACTTGTCTACAATAGTCTACAATACTGTAGTTACTTTGAGAACCAGCACTCTGCTGCTTTGGGGGTCTGTTTTTTCTAATATTCTAAGATTCTAAAACACTTTCAGTAAGAAGTTGATTAAATTGCACGCCTAGTTAAAGTGAGAAGTTAATGAAAAACTATCAAATACCATTAATGGAAATGGGTGTTTGTTTTATTCTATGCCTTTAGCTTTTTCTAGCTCAGTTTCAAAACTTTGTATGAGTAAGAGGAAGCAATAGAAGCTGTAGCCTATCTAGTTTAAACAAACCTGGCTGGTTTCTATCTCTTGGCTAGTCATTTTAAAGGTCATAGTGAATGCTAAGGGAGGATGACTAATTTTAAGTTTCATTATTATCTTCAAACTGGTATGCACAAAGAAGTGACTGATCGGGTTTTTCCCTTAAACACGTTGCAGTCTTAAATATGCTACTGTAGCTACAGGTCCAGATTCATCTTTGTTATTATCTTGACATTTATGGTTGCCTACATCCCAGGACCAGGCAACGCAAAGTCACATAAGCTTCTGCCAGTGTTTGGCCCTTACTAAACTCTGTGTTTTGCTTAAGATATAGCATGTGGGGAATAAGCATCCAAGAATCATGAGCCTGCTTTTAAAACAAGAACACCAATTTATTTATTTATTTATTTATTTTTTGTTTGTTTTAAGCAAATCATATAAATGTTTTAAAAGCAATTCTGCTGTTTGGCTCCCACGTGCTGGAACAAAACAACAACAACAACAACAATGTTTTAAGCAAATCATATAAATATTTTTAAAGCAATTCTGCTGTTTGGTTCCCACCCGCTGGAACAAAACAACAACAACAACAACAAAATGAAACAAACAAAACAAACAAGCTTGTTCCATTTTCTATGTGAAAACCCTTCAAACATTTGAAGAACGTTCTCATGGGACCTCACAGTTTTCTGTCCTCCAGGCTAAACATACTCAGGGCTCCCAACTATTTCTCACTGTGCTTTGTTGGGGTAGACTTGCCCAATTCCCTGGCTGGTGGTCCCAAAACAGAATAAAGAGTGAATCTCAGTAACAAAACCATAAAACTTTATTACTTTTGAATGTTACTCAGAGTCCAAGATATATATCAACAGGATGCATAATGTATAAACAACAGCAACTGCAAGGATAATTTCTTTGTTCAGGACATGTCTTTATCATGGTGCCTCTGTCTGACCTGATGCAACCACACAACTTTACAGAAACTCTGATGCCCCAATAGGGACACCTTCATATTCTCTCTCTTCCCCCTCACTGGACTCATTACTATCTTGGTTGCCCTCCTCTGAACATATTTCAGCTTTTTTAAAACCCTTCTTAAACAGTGGTTTCCAGAACTGTGGGCTCCAGGTGAAGTCTGACCAAAGCAGAATAGTGGTACTGTTATTTTCTTTGAGCTGAACACTATGCTTCTGTTGATGTGGCATACAATTATACTAGGATGTTTGTGTGTTTTGCCACCACATGACAGTTAACTTATGCTTAGGTTGTGGTCTACTGACTCATGACTGCTTTTCACATGTATTATTGCTAAAAAAGATGTCACCCACCTTGTATTTGTGTTTCACCTTTCCTGTTTAAATAGAAAACTTTACATTTGCTTTGAAATTCATTTTGTTTTGGCCCAGTTCTTCAATCTATGAAGGACATTTTCAGTCTTGATATTTGAATTACTACCTAAATCTCCCACAAATAAAGCCTGTCTCCTTCTGGAGCCCATTTAAACTAACTTCATATAGCTAAGGATGATCTTGCTAATAATGTTCTACTTTGCTTCAGGCTTAATTAGTGTTTTATATATTACCAATATGCACCGTTAGAAAGGATTGGTTAAGAAATAAAATAAATTTACCCTTTTAAAAATTGGATTAATTCCCGAAAATGTTTCCAGAAATTCAGTCAGAAACATTTTAAAAAAAGAGAGACAGAAGCAATGCTTGTGTTTATGAAGATTTTGTAGAATTTATGTTTAATAAGCAGAACATAGAAACATTATTGCTTTTGGTTGTTGTGGGTTTTTCGGGCTCTTTGGCCGTGTTCCCACAACAACCATTAGATCCTGGCCATGAAAGCCTTCGTGAATACATAATTGCTTTTGCACTATGACTCAAAAAGGTGCACAGAATTACTTTTTGGGATTATAATGGCCATCCTCTCAGGGCGATTCTGAAAGTTGTAGTCCAAAAAAGTAACTTTCCCAACTCTAAAGATAAATGACAGATGTGCAGATATTTAACATAATAGAATTGGTTTATATTTGTTTGCTGGAGTAATTGCATTGATTTATTTAAAATACTTTTGGTCCACCATTAAGACTAACGGCCCCCTCAAAGCATCACTCCTCCCAATATTCAGTCCTTCTCTTCCTGCAGAATGAGGCTAGGAATTCTCAGCGTAGAAAAAAGTAAAACAGGAGTTTATGTGGGGCTTCACAATGTCAGGAGATGGGTGTTCAGGGAAAGAGGCAGAGGTGGCACCTACCTCCTCCCTATCATGTTGCAGCCCATCTAGTTCTCCAGAGTCACTTCAGCCATTTTATATCTCCTCCCCTGTCTCCCACACAAAATACCTTACAGTTGCCCAGCCTGGGCACCATAACCATTACAATACAGAGCAAGAGCTGGTGTAAGCTGTTGAAAATAATAATTGTTGTCCTGTGCACTGCCCTGGTACCGAGGCTGTCTGGGTGGAACAGTCTGAGGAGACTCCTAGCGGTGGAGCTTTTCCGTCTGTTTTGAATTTACACAGTGTTACATCAATCTATAGGAGAAAGCAATACACCACAGTGGATCCTTCAGAAAAAGATTTCAGAAATTCGATAGCATGCCTTGATCTCGAAGTCTCTTTAGAAATTGCAAAACAAGTCAGCCTGTACTGGAGCAACAGCTGTTTATGACCTTTCTTCTCCGGCTTTCAAAGAAATAGCCATGCTAGTTTGTCCAAGCACAGCTGACCACCACCACAACAAAGAGACAAAAAAATGTGGTGACACCTTAAAGACTAACTGCCCCATTTTAATGTGCGCTTCAGTGGATCAAGTCCACTTTCTCAGACATAAGAGTGAGATTATATGACGGTCATATTTATATGACCCAGTGAAGATACAGATAACGGGAAAAGGAACGGTGGTCCGTTAGTAACAGAACAGGCTATAGGGCTGTAAATAAGGTGTATTATCCGTCTACAGGTAACAACAGTCCGGTTTTTGTTTGTTTGTTTGTCTGAGATGCTTCTCCAGTCTGGATTCATTCAGAACTGGCCAAGTGCTTTGCGAAGGCAGAGATGCGCTACCAGTAGCATCGATTTCCTCTCCAAATTTCCAGGCAGGCAAGAAAGCAAGGGATTCTTCGCCCCCACCACCCCACCCCTTGTTAACCTACTAAGGTCCTTTTTTTTAAATGAAGAATGAATTCAACACTTTCATCCAAAATTACTCCAACTTGCTCGACAGCGTATTTCTCTTCCAGACTTGCAAAAGCCGCCCTTCCACCACACGCGCCCGCCTTCTTTCCCCTCGCTTTGATGTCGCCCCGCCCCCCCCCCCCCCCGAAAGCTGCTCCAAGACCCTTCCTCCGCATACCCGAATGACTCCCTTTCCTCTTTTCTCTCATTGGCTGCTCTTTGGCACCAATAGCGGCCGAGGGCCGGCGTCAACGGTGGCCCATTGGCCGAGAAGCCTCTGCATGACGCAGGTTTGGGGAGGAAGGCGGAGCGAGCTCACGCTCGCTGTCACCCGGGCTGCGCAGGCGTGCTGGTCCCGGTTATTGTTACCGTTGTGCTCAAAGGCGACGGGTGCCTGTGAGCGGCGAGGAGCGCTCTCTTTATTTTGGGCGTTCGTGGTTTGCTGCTGCCGCCACTCCTCGACCATCCATTTTGGGGCCCAGCGGAGCGTTCGAGACCCGCTGAGTCCCGCCCAGGCAAGATGCCGGTGAGCAGCAGCCGCCGCCGCCCTCAGTCTTGGCCGGGTTCTTCTGGGGGTCCCTCCGGTGCTTCCCTCCCCTCCCCTCCCCACCACAAGCGCGCTGTGGGCTGGTTGCTAGGGGCGGCGCTGGCGGAGGAGCGGGCGGCGGGCGGGCGAGAGGCGGCCTCAGGGCAGGGAAGGGCAGAGGACGGGATGGAGGGGAGTTTCCTTGGCCCCAAGGTTGTCCCGCCAAAGGGCCGAAGGCGATGGGGAGGAGGGTGGGGAGGAATGAATGAATGAATGGATGAATGAATGGTGATTTGGCGCTCCTCGGGGGGGGGGAGAGTGATTGTGTTGTTGTTGTGGAGGCGGCCCCCTTTGTCCAGAATAACCCGCCCCCCTAGTGAACAGATTACAAACCCCCCTATTAAAATCGTGGGGTGTTTAGGGGTCAGTGCGACCCATAATGACTTTCTTGAGTGTAGGGCACGCCTGTAGCTGTTGTATGTACGTACTGTGTTTGCCCGATGGGGCCAATTACGACTCTCTCGAGTGTAGGGCATGCCTGTAGCTGTTGTCTGTGTACTGTGTTTGCCCGATGGGGCCAATTACTAAACCTCAGCCCAGGTTTTAACACCTTGGGGATGTATTTGGAAATGGGTGTTTCCCAGAGAATATGAAGGCGAGCAGAAAGAAAAGCACCCCCTCTTTTTTTATTTTATTTTTTAAAACCATGTAAATGGTTTTCAATACTTTATTCTTCCTTCCAGTGGCATGCAGGGTGGAAGCAAAACAGGCATATTTATAAAACCACAAAGCAACAGAGACAATTTTAGATAAATACTATACATTGTTTTAATTTTTTTTCAGATTAAAAAAAACATGTTCAGTAACATATACGTTCAAAGTATCTTTCATCAATAAATAATAAAAACAATTTAAATAAAAAGATAGGGAAGATACAACTGTTTTAAAGCCATCTCAAAGGCCACTGTAGATGGGGTCAGTCTCCTCTCTTTTTGGAGGAATTTCTCTCCTTCAATTTTCTGTTAAATAATCTGTCATATGTGCTGTCAAATGAGCATCCCTAATAGGATTTTTTAAGGTAAGTAAGATATTTAAAGAGTGGTCTTAACAGTGACTCCCTATAGTGGATTTCCATGACTGAGCAGGGATTTGAACCCAGGCCTCCTGAGTTCTAGACTGTCACAGTATACTACACCACACTGAATATGTTAAATAATCTACAACCATTTTATGCATATGGAATGTGTACAGTACTGTTCTTTCTTCACCTTTGTTTGCCTTTGTACATCATATGGGGTGGGGGGAGGAGTTTTGCCAGCTAGTGGTTAGTCAGATTATGTAATGCAAACTATGTCTGATTTGCCAGTTATGCCCTTGTCTGAAAAAATTAGATCCTACTACAGTCACTTAAGCCCCCATCTCATGCAGACTAGAGTGCTATAATGTCCCATGTGTAGGGTTACTACTAAGGACTGTTCCCTCTAATAGGTGAGAGGAGTTAGAAGTTCAGAGCATGTGATATTGCTTCTGTACAGGTGCACTGGCTACCAGTGTGTTTCCTAGCCTAACTTAGAGTGTAGCTTCTCACCTTTAAAGCACTAGGCAGCTTGAGGTCAGGCTATTTGAAGGACAGCATGTGTGTAAAGTTGCCAAGGCCAAAGATCAATCAGAGAGGTCAAGGCATGTGTCCACCAGTAAAATCTGTTAGGTTGGCAGGCATGAGACAGGGCCTTTTCTGTAATGGCCCCAACCTTTACGAAGTGGTTTCATCCTTGGCTACCTAGCGAGTCCAGGTTTTTAATTAAGTAAAAAAATCTTGTCTGCTCCTGCGATTATTTTGAATGTTGTTTTAATTAATCGTATTTTATTGTATTGTTTGATTCTGTGAACTGTTTTGCAGTGGCTCCTAGAATGGCAGCACTGAAACATTTTAAACAAATAAAGATACACTTGGCTAGTTCAGAGGTAGTCATCATATACAAACCACATAAATGGTGCTCAGTCAGTTTTATTTCAGTTAACTACTTTTTGTCTTTTATATTTCAAGTAACACCCTTCAGCACTTCTTTATCCTCTGTGTTGTTTATTTAAATGTTTATGTCTTCCCTTTTGAAGCCAACACCTCCTAAGACAGCTTACAAAACATTATTTGACTTCATATGCATAGAAGGAGCATCATGCTTCTGAATAGTGTGCAATGCTGTCAAGTTACCATGCTCTCAGACCAGGCCTCAAATGATCTTACATTTTCTGCATTGGCCCTTAATCCATTTTGCAGGTCCTGGCTATCTAAACCTGTTCCAAGTCCTTATGGCTTCTTCCTCCTGGTTCCACCTCCCTTGTTGGATGCTCTAGTTCACCGGTCTGTAAAATATTGTTTCAGGTGTGATGTAGATTTTCTAGAATATTCTCTGAAGCCCTTCCATGTCTATACAACAGATAATGATTCAGCAGATCAGGAAGCTGCATTTATAGACAATGGATGGGTGCCAAACTGCTGCTGCTTCCCCGTCTGATGGCTTTAGCTAAAAGGATGGCTCTTTAGCAGGGCTACATCTAGGCATCTTTAAAAAACAGGCCTTCTCCCTGCCTTGGAGATGTTCCACTTCTCCAGACTTCTACAAGTTTGGACAAGTGTCCACAGTTCTTGTAACTATGGCAGATGTGATAAACTCCAGGGGGGATCATTAAGTTTGCCTGCTGTTCTTGAGGCAGGTGGAACTCTTTGGAAATGCAGCAAAGATGACTTTCTCCACCTCTGTTCCAAAGTTGGGAAGATTTGCCACTCTGTCTCTCAGATTATGTAGGTTTCTGCAAATCTCTTTCTCGATTTGCTGTTCTGTTTCATCCTTTTCATGAATTATAATTGTGATTTTCTTTCTTTGGGCAGATCAACAAATCCGAGAAGCCAGAGAAGGCTGACAATTCTGATAATGTCAAAGTTGTTGTTCGCTGCCGGCCTTTCAATGAACGAGAGAAAGTCATGTGCTATAAAATGGCAGTTAATGTTGATGAAATGCGAGGCACAATTACTGTCCATAAAACAGATTCTTCCAATGAACCTCCCAAGACATTTACCTTTGACACTGTTTTTGGACCTGAGAGCAAACAACTTGATGTTTATAACTTAACTGCAAGACCAATTATTGACTCTGTTCTGGAAGGATACAATGGTAAGTGATGCCTCTTTGTTATATACAAATGATGGAGTGTCAGAATGTATTTTTTATAATATTTATTATTATATTTCTATACCACACCATCTAGTGGTATGCCACTACTCTAGGTAGTTTCCAACAAAAAAAGAAAATAACAAAGCCCTGCCCAACACACAAATATAAAAAGGAGGGCAGTACTCCTGAAAACCCAAGATGGTGATAATACAGACTGCAAAATATAATAACAGGAAATGAAACTGAATAACAAACAGTTACAAGAGGAAGATTCCTTGATGTGCCTCCCTGAAACTCATTATTTTTATGTGCTTTCAGAAGGAAAGGGCTGGGTGCACCTGCTCAGGTAGAGCATCCCACAAAGAGATGGCCACCACTGAGAAGGCCCAGTTTCTAGTCCTGGACTTCCTGGCCTCCCTTGGGTTCACCACCCTCAATATCAAAGCCTGAGAGGTGCAAGCGCCACAAATAGTTGATCTCAGGAGGAGGTGCTTCAATAGGTAGCAGGGTCCCATACCATTCAGGGCTTTATAAGTCAACATTAGTACCTTGAATCTGGCACAGAAACAAACCAGCAACAAGCCTGAACTAGGGAAATATGATTGTATCGCAAAGTCCCCAAGATCAGCCTGGCCACCGCATCTTGTACCTGCTGCAGTTTCCATACTGCCTTGAAGGGCAGCCCCACGTAGAGGGCATTGCATAGTCAATCTTTGAGATTACCGATGCATGAACTAGTGTTATCAGGACTTGTTTCAGTAGGACTGCAGGTGTGCAGTCTACCTAAGGTGGAAAAGGTGTAAATTCAGAAGGAGTATAACCCTATCTAGAGAAGACCAAAGCCCCCCCACCCCCACCCCCGATGAGCAAGGTCACCTCCTAATAACAAGATCTCCATCTTGTCAGAATTCAACCTCAGTCTTTATCCAGTCCATGACTTAGACCTGAAAGCCCTCTATGGCAGTGGTCCCCAATCTTTTCCAAATCGCTGACTGGTTGGGGGAGTGGAGTCCATGTGTGCAGGAGTGGGGAATGCTTGCGGGTGGACGGGGTACACACATGCGTGGGTGGACGGGGCGCACTTGTGGGGGGCACCCATGCATGCGGGTGAGCAGGTGGGCATGGGGGGAAGTGTGTGCGGCGGGGATCTGTTTCCATGGCCTGGTCCTACCAAGGCCACGGCCCAGTACTTGGCTGCAGCCTGAAGGTTGGGGACCCCTGCTTTACAGTCTGCACAGTTTCTCCTGCCAAAGAGCAAATGGAAGCTGTGTTTAATCAGCATATCAATGATGCAACATTCCAGATCTCTGGATTACCTCCCCCAGTGGCCTCATCCAGATGTTAAACAGCATTGGGAAGATGATCCACCCCTGTGGGACTCCTCCACATTGTAGGATCAATGGAGTCCAAACAGCCTCCCCAAGCTGTACCTTCTGGAGATTGCCCTTGAAGAAGAACTGGAATCAGAATAATACTGGTCCTCAATCCCCAGCCTTATTAGCCAGTCCAGAAGATTGTGTCAGTGATAACAAAGGCTGTTGAGAGACTGAAGGACCAACAAGGTTAGCTTCCTTAACAGGTCATAAAGTAGGGCAACCAGAACTGTTTCAGTCCCATTGTGCAGCCTGATTGAAATGGATAAGACTATCAGTATCCTCCAAGAACGTCTGCAGCTAGTCAGCCACCATCCTTTCTCCACCACCCAATCAGCTTTCTCATGAATGGTATGTTGGCAATGGATGAAAGTTGTTTAAATTATCTATTGCCAAGTTGAACTTTTTAAGAATGGGTCAGATAATTGTCTCCTTCAAATGGGGGGAATATATCCCCTGTTGCAAGGTGGACTGTATGATCTGAATAGGCCATTCCTTTGTTACCTGCTTGACTGATTTTAAAAGCCAGGAAGGACATGAGTCTAACCGAGGTGGTGGCCTTACAGCATGCAAACAGCTTGTCCATGTCATCATGAACACAGGATGAAATCAATCCAGTACAACCAGACAAGATGGTGCACTGGACATCTTAATAGGGTCTTTTGCCATACTAACAGAGTCCAGGTCCCTATGGATGACCTCAATCTTGGATTGAAAAAAGGCTGCAAACCAGTTGCAGATCATCACATCCAATTGAGGCCCCAGATGATGTCTAGCACCTGTGAGGCTGCAGAACACCTGATAGAACACTCTGATGCTAACTGCCTCATTAATCAGCTAGAGTTTTTTTGCAGATTGAATCATGTTATAATATCTGCTGGACATCTTTCTTTTTTAAAGTGTAGCGAAGTTCACATCCGCGGGAGCTTTCCTCCGGTTGCTCTCTAGCCTTCTCTTCACTTTTTTCAGGGCCTGAGCTCATCTGTGAAACAAGGTGAAGAGCAAGCCTTGATACGAGGAAGGCATTCAGGTCCTGGACACCATGCAACTCATTCACAACTGCCTTGGGGGAATTAAATATTTCCTATTCCCCCCTTGCAGATTCTGGGGATCTTACAGTGTCAGTTTAGGGCAGAATATATTTTGTTATTCTTTATTGTTGTTTTTATCATGTCACCCTAGCAGCTATTAGCTATAGGGTGACAGAGTTTGTTTGTACCCTCCCCTGTAAGCCCAACAGCACAACACCCACCACGCGTTTTCTCTCTCTTCTCTCTCCCCATTCATCTTTGCTCAGGCCTGGTATCTGTTTTCTGTCTCCTGGAGGATAGTTCACAACAGATGTGTCCATGAAAGTTTACATTAAAATAGACTTTAAGGTGCCACGTTTTTTCATCTTGTTTTGTTTCTTTGGCCTGATAAACATAAACTTTAGTGGCAAAATGCTGCTAGCTGAGAAGTCAATATTTGCATTTTTTGCTACATACCAGTTGCGTGACTTAGCATGCAACAAGAAATGAGCACCACATTCTTAACAGACAGTTCACAACTGAAATTTCTGCTGTTGGATTCTGCTCCCTATAATGTGAATGAACTTAACAGTTAAATATGCCTGAAGCTCGCACAGACCAGAAATAGAGTGATTTGTCATCTCTGCTTGGAAGCCCCATAAGCTGGTATGCACACATGTTGAGAAAGCTGGTATTTACTCTTCTTTCTTAAGAGTATTGCTGGAGGCAAAGAAGGGATTAAAGCCTTTTCTCTGTGCCATTATAAGGACCTATTTGAACTGTCTTGTCTTGCAGGCACTATTTTTGCTTATGGCCAAACTGGAACAGGAAAGACGTTTACTATGGAAGGGGTCCGGGCTGTTCCAGAACTCAGGGGGATCATTCCAAATTCTTTTGCTCATATATTTGGGCACATTGCAAAGGCAGAAGGTGATACAAGGTGAGTCACTTAGTTATGTCTCCTATCTTTTGCTCTCATTGCAGCAGCCCCTTTAGTGCTTGTAGCTACTTAACAGGAGGTTTACTGGTCTGTGATATCAAGCATCCCTTTTTTGAGCATAGGCTAAAGAGGTGCTTTTTGGTCATGAATGCTGAAACCTTTCCCTTTGTTCATATTTTCTTGTATTCAGAAGTATACTGTCTATGAAAATTGAGGTTCTACTAAATAATCAGCAGATTGGGATGTTAATTTAAAAACACTTTCATTGCATGGCTTCATTCTAGTCCTTTGAGATAAAAAAAAGACCAAACTCTGTTTATGACATGTGTTGTGTGAATCACCATCACATCATGTGTTTTTTCGTAATGTAGAAATGCTGAAATATAGGTTGAAATCTTCTTAGGTAATGATGCTGACGTCAACATTATCTATTCCTTGCTGAGTCACATGACTTAGCTTGCAGCAGGAAATATCTACAGTGGTTTTTTTTAACTTGAGAGGATTCATCTCCAGAAGTTGTGCTGTTTGCATTACGCTATCATAATTATGCATGAGTATTTGGGCCATCATATTGTGTTCTTATAGGAAAGGTACCAGATCTTTGTGCTGAAATTTGAGGCTCCAATTGTTGCTGTTGTTAATTTATCAGTGTACTGTGTCTTTGTCTTTCTGTGTATGATCAGACTAATTTCACTGATAAAGCTTTTGCTCTTGTTGTTTTTAAACTTCAGGTTTTTGGTTCGAGTCTCTTATTTGGAAATTTACAATGAGGAAGTGCGTGACCTGTTGGGGAAGGACCAGACACAGAGGCTAGAAGTAAGAACTGGATGTTTCTAGATTATTGCTGACAATAGGAATCCTAAAAACAACCCTTGCAACTCAGCTAACTCCTAAACCTAGAAGCACATATGTAAAGTGCGGAGACAGTTGTAAGGTTTTACTTCATCTTATAACCAGAGTTTATAAAGAGGGTTTCAATAGCAGCATTAAATGCAGTCATTTGCTTTCTTTACATGAGGTCATGCAGGACTGAGTCCATGTACAGTTGACAGATTTTCTTTAATTGGAAAGTCTTCTGATACCAGTATTCTTGTAATTGTATTGTTGTTGTGCTGTCAGATTGCTTATGATAGCAGCTCTACAAATTAGTGAACTTAAGAAGATTCTGTCATTAATAGCTCTTTGTAGGTCCTGCAAACTAAAAACCTTGGCTTTCTTTATTGACTCAATTTATCTCGAATTTAGTGTTAACCTTTTCCAGTGGCCTTCAACCATTATTACCCTTCTCATCTTTTTTTCTTCTGGTGATTTGTCCAAAGTATGATAGCCTTGATTTAGCTAGAGACATTTTAATCTTGGTATGAGCTAGCATCCATCCTTTTATCAGATTTTTTAAAAAATCTGATTCCGCCATTTAGCTCTCTGGTCCTTTGAAATGTGCTGATAGATGTTAGACACTGGCTTTTGGCATCAAATGCAAAGTTATTTCCAAAGAAGAGACAAAATTGCTAGACAAATTAAACCGAACAATTTCCTAATTTGTTCCATAGGTTAAAGAACGACCTGATGTGGGAGTCTATATCAAAGATCTTTCAGCTTATGTTGTAAATAATGCAGATGACATGGACAGAATTATGACACTCGGTCACAAAAACCGTAAGTTGCATAGCCCCAGTTGATAGTTTTGTATCCTCTGTGGGTTGTCCTCACCTCCATTTTCAGCAAACCATTTACTTCGAAGGGCTAAAGAAAGCAGCTCATAATATTAGTGGTATTCTTATACTGTATGTTGCTTCCAGTATAGCCATTTGAGGCATTTAGTTTCACATGTATTCAATTGTTCTAGCTTGTGTAATATGATTAGTGTGTGTCCCATTCTTCCTCTGCAGAGCTCAGGATGATAGATCTGGGTTTATCCAATTGTCTTTCTAATAGCCCTGTGAAAGAGATCAGGCTGAAGCAGGGCACTTACCTAAGGTGACTCAGCCAACTTTATAGCTGGGGAAGGAGATAAACTTGGTCTCCTTGGTTCACATCCACTAGGTTGTTGTATACCACATCTTGCTCTTTCGGTGGCCGTTAAAGCAAGTCAAGGCATCCAGCCTGTAGCATAACCATTCATTTTTGCTCCAATCCAAGATATTTATTTGACTTAGTTTGAATATATGGATTCTTGACACCTGAATTCTTTGAAAACACCGTAGCCTAGTCTACATACATGACTGAGATCTTGCTCAACCATATGTGAGAGTGAATTGAATTCTGAAGTTCAGAGCTTCAGTATCATTTTTGCAATTCATCCTTAGCAGCATTTTTCTCACATCAAAGGTGTGAGAAATACATTGATGCATTATATATAAACATTAGTTTCAAGTACAGTGGTGGCTCAGCTTACAAATGTCCTGACTTAATGACTATTTCGAGTTACAACCAGTTCTGGCTGCAAAATTTTGCTTCGACTTGCGGCTGGACCTTTAAGTTGCAACCAGAAAAGGGCAGGGAAAAAAGGTGGGGAATTCAAATTTGCTAACCGATGGTAGGTGAAGAGGCTGCTTCTTTGTAGCTTTTTTGCCTGAACGGTTAGAGTGAGTGCAATCAGAGGAGTCTTGGGACTTCCTGGTAAGGTATGGTGCTACTTTCTGCTTTTAAAAAACTGTTCTGGGTGGGTTTTGCAGGGTGGGTTTGGGCCAGGGGTGGTTATATTTCTGTGTTGTTTTGTTTTTTGGTGATTTTTTTCCCAGCCCCAGCGCCTTCTGATGGGGATTGCTCCGTTGTTTATTTTTGGTTGGTTGGTTGGTTTGCAGCCCCAGCGTGTTCCTTTGGGGCTTGCAGTGTTTTATCTTTATTTTATTTTTGGGGGGTATTTTTTTCTTCTGGAGCGGATTAATCGCATTCCAATGTATTTCAATGGGAAATAGTGCTTTGACTTACGACCATTTCGAGTTACGTCCATCTTCTGGAACGGATTATGGTCATAAGTCAAGGCACCACTGTAATAAAGTACTGGTAATATTTATATATACTTTTAATAAAACAATCAAAGGGAGCATATATTGGTATTAGAATAGCTAGAAATGGAGCATATGGGAAATAAAGTAGCTGCTCTGGTGATGTTAGAACAGTGATTTCATTTAACCATTAATTTAAACCTTTACTTTGACTTCCCTGTGTCAATAGGTTCTGTTGGGGCCACGAATATGAATGAACACAGTTCCCGTTCCCATGCTATCTTTACAATCACAATTGAGTGCAGTGAGAAGGGTGTTGATGGGAATATACATGTGCGCATGGGCAAGCTGCACTTAGTAGATCTTGCGGTAAGTCATTAAATGCATTTCTTATACAGCCAGTCTGATGTGGCTTTGCACACTATCTGATACACTTATCAGTTCCACTCCCCCAGTGAGTTTCCATGGCTGAACAGGGATTTGGAAAATGTTCACCAGAGTCCTAGTCCATCATTCTATCCACACTTGGATCTCTGTGCATTATTACCTAGTCATAAATCCTACTGTGTTCAGTGGAACTTTCTCCTGGGTAAATCCATATAGGACTGCATCCTCGAATCATTTAGATAAGATCTGTATACCCAAGGCAAGCTTGCCCGATCCCAGTTGCAAGTAATATGGACCTGGCATCTGGATCAAGTGCTTTGGAGTGCCCATACAACATGGCTACTTGCATCAACAGTCTCGACTTTTTAAAGCCTTAAGGAGAACATGGCTTTGTCCCAAGCAGTGCTCTTAACTCTTCCACTGTAATTTTAGAGTGTTTTCTCACAGATAATCAGATTGCAAAGGGCAGGTTTGTCTGGTACTTTTCCATCTGGGAAACAGTTCTTGGTTAAATCCTGTATCACTTCCTTTTAGCCGTGAGGATCAAAAACACATAAACCTGAAACTTTATTTACTTCCTAGATTGTCACCCTTTAGAATTAACTACAATCATAACATTTTTATTTTTTTCCCCTTTACTAAGGAGGGCTCTAAATATTTTGTTCAATAAAAATAGCACCACTGTTGCCATGGTGCAGTAGCTTTATAATGTTTATCACCACCACCATCAGTCCAAGCATATGGAAGTTGGCTAAGCATTTTAATGGATGTACGGGTTTTGTTTTTGTTTTTTTAGGAATGCAATTAAAGCAGCATGTCATCTTAGAATGGAGCCTCAGGGTTGTTTGTAGTTCTCTGAAATTAGCTTTTAAGTCCAGCCATTGTGTACCTCTCCATTAATCAGTGTCTTACTCTTGACTTATATAGTAGGTGTAAACCCATACACATCTACCTTCAGTTAGCTGCTTTGTGATCTGCTCTGCTGTTTTGTCTATAGAAGCTGCTTGTATTTTTAACCTTCTGTCCCTGCTCATCATACCCCTTCCTCTTTTACCCCACCCCTCTTCAGGGATCAGAGAGGCAGGCTAAAACTGGCGCCACTGGGCAACGTCTAAAGGAAGCTACAAAAATCAACCTTTCCCTCTCTACTCTGGGGAATGTGATTTCTGCACTAGTAGATGGAAAGAGCACTCATGTGCCTTACCGCAACTCCAAGCTGACACGACTGCTACAGGATTCCCTTGGAGGAAACTCCAAAACAATGATGGTAATAATGAGGGAACTGTGTTCAATTTTCTGACAGTTTACCGGTTCTAGATAACAGAATTCCTTGATTTCATACATATATTTGATGTGAGGGGGATTACTGTAAACCCTGAATTTTAGCAGGCTTTTTGTTGTGTTTTGCTAGGGTAAGATCCAGTCTTGAAACTACTATTAGTGCTGCAAAGGGTTTGTATTTTTATTCTTTTGAGTATTGCCCTTTATTGTGATCTGATAGGAAAAGTACTGAAAGACTCATATTCCAGAAGGCAAAAAGTGGCTACAAAGGGGAAGATGCACCACGAGATGATCAATGGTATCATATTTGATTTGATCAGCTATGAACGGTTGAAATGGATGGCTGGAAAGCTGATCCACAGTTTTGTCTAGAGAAGAGCAATCACCAAGCTTAATAATGGAAATGCAGGCTTCTCTTCTGGAATACAGTAGATAGGGTAGCATCAATTTGGAACTAAAACGAGGCCAAAGTTGCCATTAGTTGGGCCTCTCTGGGACTGCCCTGTAGAATTGGTCAAAGAACTGCTCCGTAGATAGCAGCCCAAACACTATTGTGTAGTTTATGCCTTCAGAAGACAAAACGGTATAACTCTTACTGGCTTACTGCTGCTAGTTAACTAATCCCAGTTTGGATTTTCAAGCATGGACTGGTCTGATAGGCTGACACATGCCTGCAAATCCAAGCTGGGACTCATTAACTGCCAGCAAGAAGACTTGGCTAGTTAAATTGTGTGCCTTCCACAAGCATAACTATACAATAGTGTTTTGGCCACTGTTTCATTCTGGACTATAGTTCTCCACCTTTCTTGTTCTTACCAACCATAAGTTGACAATTCTAACCTATAAAGCCCTAAATGGCTTTTGCCAAGTTGTATCAAGGACGGCATCTCCCTTTATGAGCCTGCTCAAAGGTTAAGATCACCAGGAGAGGCCTTTCTCTTGGTTCCACCACCTTCACAGGTATGCTTGGTGGGGACTCAAGAGAAGGCCAAAATCCACAGATTTTGGAACTCCCTCCCACAGGAAGCCAGACTGGCCCCATCTTTGCTGTCCTTTTGCAAGTAGACAAGGACCTTTCTTTTCAAGCAAGCTTTCCTTTAGGGACTGGCTGTCTGAATAGGGTTTTGAAATGGGTTGTCGTATCTTACTGCTTTGAATGTGTTTTGGGTGTTGCTTTTGTTTACCTTTTTTAGTGTGTTTGACCTTTTTTAGTATGTGTATAATTACTATTTTTAGCTTTAAATACTGTCTTGAATCCTTTTTAAGGAGAAAGGCGGGTAAAAATATTTTAAATAATTAAATAGATGAACTCCTCGATCTTTGGTTTTAGTGTGCGAATATTGGTCCAGCGGATTACAATTATGATGAGACTATTAGCACTCTACGGTATGCCAACCGTGCCAAAAACATCAAGAACAAGGCTAGAATTAATGAAGATCCAAAAGATGCCTTGCTTCGCCAATTCCAAAAAGAAATCGAAGAGCTTAAGAAAAAGTTGGAAGAAGGTAACCATGGACTCACTTCTACCAGTATTTTTTTCTATATAGGTATACCTAAGAAGTGGAAATTGTTTTAAGTACCTATAATATTTTAGATCTTTCAGTAGATGGAGGCATTAAGTTTGTGAAATTATGGCCATGAGTAAACATTTGGATCCTGTTCTTCCTCAAGAGCCTTGGAGGTAATAGTTTAGATGCCCTCTTTCATCTCCATAACCCTCTCATGAGGTTGGGTAAGCTGGGAAGGGTCACAGGGAGCTTTAGGGCTGACCAGATGTTTGAACCTAGGCCTTCCCTCATCTGAGTTTGGCAGCCTGGCCCCTTCACTAACCTGCTCTCAACATGTGTGTAAATGCTTTCATCAAAAATGTTACATCTGCCCACTAGATGGTACTTGGAGCAAATATCGGGTGGTTACCTGAAAGTGTCAGTCTGCTTTTGCAGTCCCATTTTCTAGGAGGGTTGAGAAAGGATAAGAAACAGAGTTATAGCAGAAGAGTTATATTTTTGAGCTATGGCTCCCAGTTAGCATGATCAATGGCTATGCCAGCTGGGAAATCTGTGAGTTACAGTCCAAAAAAGTAACTTTTTCCAGGCTCTGAACCTGGCAACAAGTTTACTGGTATAATAACATTTCTTTAGATAAAAGTTCCTTTAAAAGTGACTCTTGGATAAATCTGTAAACAAACACACTAATAATGCAGGGGAAGAGATCTCTGGTTCTGAGACAAGTGGCTCTGAAGATGATGATGATGAAGACGAAGATGGGGAGATTGGCGAAGATGGAGAAAAGCGCAGGAAGCGAAGGGGTAAGGTGCTTCCTTTTTAGCATTATTATTAAGAGTGCCTGCTGCAATTACTGTGCCCTTTTTAGAAGCAGGCCTTCAATTTCCATGTGGATCCTTGCTTGTGATATATTTTCTTTGGTAGAATTGCTCCTAAATGACAGCAGCTCAGTGTTCATAGGTCATAACTGCACATGTATATGACTTCTTGCAATGTTTTATGTATTACTTCAATGGCCATTCACTTACTCACACATTCCATTTGTTATAATCAGCAGTACAGATGAGACTAAATGCTATAAGCTTCTTGAGGAAAATCCACGGCTCTCCAAATATTGTTGGTTTGTAGTCCTTTTTATCTTTGAGCATTGGCCATTCCAGCTGGGGCTGATGGGAGTTGGAGGCCAACAGTATGTAGAGAGCCACATATTTTGAACCTCTCCTATCAACTGATTTTAGTCAAGGGTGTTACAATCTTCCCTTTTTAAAATCAAGATGCTTGCTATTTGGTCTTAGTATTATCCAGTCTCTTTAGCACAAGACACTTGTACTGTAAGATAGAGACAGAGTTGCACCCAAAGGTTCATGTACTTTCTCACTGTTCTCTCTTGACATCTAGAATTGGGTATAGGAGATTTCAACATAGATTCAGCTGGAGATTGGATGTGTATAGTGACACTATTGTTGCTATATTCTGAGTAAGTCAAATCCGCTAACTGTTGGAACGCAGGATCTATTGGTATGGATGCCACTTTTTTTAGTGAGGTAGTATATAAACCTCGTATTTCTGATGTGACCGTGTTTTGTCTGTTGTGGGGGGATGCCCAAACAGATTGTGTATAATGTCTGTTTAAATTATTGCTAATACAATGGGCTCCACCTTTTCTCTGTTAACAGCTGCAGGTGTTTGCTTTGTTTACACCCTTTATGGCTTCTCTTCAGAATAGTATGTACTGGTGTGTACCTCATATTGGTCTGTAGGGCTTGGAATCTGGCTTGCCAGTGGATTTTCTGATGCATAATTTCTATCTTCTGAGATGGTAGGCAGATAGTAAATACAGTGGTGCCTCGCTTAACGGGCGCCCCGTTTAACGACGAAATCGCATCGCGATTAACTTTTTGCAATCGCTTTTGCGATCGCTTTGTGATGTTCCCTATGGGGAAAAATCGCTTTGCGATGATCGGTACCCTGTTTTGCTTACTGATCATTGCAAAGATGATTTTTTAACAGCTGATCGGTGGTTCCAAAATGGCCGTTGGGTAAAAAAATGGCCGCCTGCTGTTTTCTGGGACGGATTCCTCACTTACCGGGCAGCGAAAATGGCCGCCGTATGGAGGATTTTCGCTTTAAGGTGAGTCTGAAGTCCATAAGAACGCATTGAAGGGGTTTCAATGCATTCCTATGGGCTTTTTAATATCTCATAGCGACGAAATCGCTTTGCAGCGATTTTTGCTGCACGATTATCGTCGCTATGCGAGGCACCACTGTATGCTGACATTTGCCTACATCACAGGCAAGAGAAGGCAACCTTCTCATTCTCTCGCTTTTCCTGTTTTTGGAACAGTGTATCAAACTTATTACAAAGTGACCATGATGATTTTTTTAAAATGGAAAGCAACACCTCCTCTTCGTTGGCATAATGTTTGCGATGTGGAAGCTGGTTCCTTAAGCAATGCCTAACTATTATCCCCTGCCAACTACTTAACTGTTCCCCCCCCCCCAAGAATAAGGAACTTCTCTTAAACAGATTTGTTGTTTAAATTCTATTAATAGGATATAACAAATCAGCCTTTCATGATCATACAAGAATTCAGTGGTTTTGTGGCAAAGAATACAAGTTGGAAGCAGCAGAGCCTGTCATGATGCTTACCTCTGTGCTGTTGGTTGGATGACTTGTTGCTTCTTTCTTAGGTTTATTTACAAAGGCTAGTATTTCAAGTTTTGGGGGACTTTTCTTAGACCAGTAATCCTGGCCTAGGCTGTTCTAAATCTTGGTTGTTCTGTCCCTAATAGAGGCTGCTAGCAGTTCTTTATCTGATGGAGGAAATCCATGTAACAAACCTTTGGGTTAATTACAATTTGCTGTATGGATCATTCACTCTTGGGAAATTGTTCCCATTGGCTTCCAAAGTGTAGTTGTAACATATGCAAGTGACTCTTAAAGGTAGGCTAGGTGGAGGGATATGGAATTCAGTGTTCTATTATTTAGGAGGAAATTACTTAACTCCTAAAGTGGAATATTGCCACCATGACAATTTACCTCTTGATAATTTCCCAGCCTTTTCTTGGAACTGTAAAGAGTTGCATTCCCCCAGGTTAGTAACCCCTCACCCTTCAATATGGAGTTTGATAGGGCAGAAAAAAAATTACTGGCGGTTTACCTTGTCATTGTCTGTACTTTCCTCAGATCAGTGGTCCACTCAGATGGAACATTCCTCCCCCTCCCCAATAAACACTTTGCTTTTGTCTGAAACTGGTTTTGATTGAACTTCCATTAAGAAAAAGTTGAAAACCAATGTCCTGTTTCTTCCTCCTGAGTTCTTAGCTGATACTTTGCTAAACATGGTTAATAAGTCCTCCCGCATCAAAAAGCTTCCACAGAAAAGCACTGTTTTGACTGTCTGAAGAAAAGCAAGGAGCACCTTTCTGCTGAGACCAAGACAGTGCACCGTTGTCCAGCTGATTTTTCCTAAAATAACTTGGTGATGGTTTGTTAAACAAGCAAGGTGTATCATAATCTAGGCTGTAACTGTGCAGTGGTAAAGCAAAGAAAGATACAAAAATGGGACAATGCATCTTTAAACCAGTCTCTTGTGCTTTAGAGCTAATGTTTTGCATGTGTTGCTTCTTCCTCTTCCTCCTCCCTCCCTCCCTCCCTCCCTCCCCGGGTTTTCCATGGGGTCCACTTCTCTCTTTTCCAGGCAGTAGCAGCAGCAGTAGTTCAGACTCTACATGCTCTGTCATAGAAAAACCTCTGGACAAATCCTTCACTAGTGAGTGGGAGCTCCTAAGTCATCCAGTGAAGCTTTGGCCTTTCCATAACTTGTGCACTCATTGTTTGATGCTGCATTTTGCTACCTGTCCCTGACATTGGTTATATTCAGAGTGACATGTGGATTTCCCCACCCTCACCCCATGAAATAAAGCATGTTTTATTTTCTTTGCTCTTTCAGAGTTTGGAGGGGGGAAAAGTCTCCTTCAGGCTTAAGTTAAATAGCTCAGAAAAGCAGGAAAAAATGTTAGTGTTGATCACATCATGAAATAGAATGTATTTTAAATGTACTTTTGATCTTTGATACATTAGCATTATATGAAATTAACAATTTTTCAGTAGGGTGTTCATGGTCTCTCTCCCTCTCTCTCTCTTTTAATGTGTATATTCCAGCAAAGAAGCTGGGCTAGGCCCATCATTTGTTAATTGTTTGAAAAGCCAGTTGAAAAAATTGGTGCCTGAAACCAAACTCCTTGGCTCTTCCTAACATTCTGCTCATGCTGGGATGTCCCATTAGCTTCTGTGTCAGGAATTTGCAAAGTGTGGCCCTTCGGATGTTGTTAATCCTAGGCAGCATAGCCAATAGTGAGGAATGCTAGCACTTGCCTGTGAGTGACATCAAGGCTATTTCTTCTGATGTTGGACTCAAATTCCCATCAGCCCTGTTGGCATAGCCAGTGAGAAAGAATGATGGAAATAGTAATTCACCCATATCTGGAGAACCAGTTCTCAACAAAAACCTTTGGACAGTGATGTTTTCCTCTTCTGTATGTCAGACATTTCCTGTTCACAGAAGCAAAGGGGACATCTCTGTTTCATTATGGACATCAAAGCTTCTAGGTGTCCACAACCTTCCGCCATTGTGGACTACTTGGTGTCCCTGTTCAGCCTTGTTCCAGCAGTGCAGTTCTAAGATGCTGGTGGCGGCGGCAATGAAGTGGAACAAGTTCAAACCACCTTTAGGATGCAGTTAAATTAATTGGTTTGAAACCATTGGTATTCCTACCATTCTACCCCCTCCTTTCAGTCCCAGTACAATATCCTCATTGGAGGAAGAGTTCACTGCCTGTGGACACAAGTATAATGCGTGTTGAACCATCAGGTTTAAAGTGAAAGACATGATCCCTTGCAATAACTTCTTTTATTTTTGCATGTTGCATGTTTTTGCTGCTTTCCCTCCTTCTCTTTCTCTTTGATAGCGCTGGTTAAAATGTATCACTTTATTTCTGTGAAAGCATCTGAGTTTCTTGGGAGGGGGAAAATCTGTTTAACACTCCGCTTGAATTAATGTTGAAACGTATCATGATATCTCCTCTGTGTGGAACTGAACAATTTGAAATGCAGAATTGGAATAAAATGCCAAGCAAGCTTAACTCAGCAGATGTGACAATTGGCTACTTAAAAACCTTGGTCTTGATCTAGAGTAGCTGATAATTGTCTAGTATGTTTCTTCAGATGTGATCTTTGTGACAGGCCTGTTTAGTGCAATATTTTCAAAAGGCAGTTTTATCCTTCAGTGAGCTGAAGATTCATGATATACTTCAGTATGAAATGCTTACCCTCCTTCAGTATTGAAATGGGGCAGCAGTGCATTCTGGATTTTAATTTGCTAATACCACCCCCCTTTTTTTGCCTGTTCAAGCAGATTTTGATGAATGCCTTTACATATGACCTTGTTTTCTGTTAAATAAATCAAGCAATAATATGTTTCTTTTTTCCCTCCCCATTCCCTTCCTCTCTGTGCTGTGTGCTGCCTCTCTGCGATTTGTTTGCCTCTTCCTCTTAAAATGCAAGATCAAGCAGGTTGGTGTGTTTGATTTGCATTCCATTTAATACCTTTCTAAGATTATGTTCCAAAAGCTTTGGGTTTTTTGTTTTGTTTTTTCATTCTCAAACTTGTTGGACTCAGGAGATAGACCTTGACAATATTTATATGTATTTAGCTACTCATTGGCAACAGATTTGAGTGTTAAAGCAACATTTGTATATAAATGTTAGCCAGATTCACTTAACAAATAATTCTTAAGAATTTCCCCTCTCAGCAATAATAAAAGCACTGCTTATTTTCAGCTGGCCCTTTATTGGCCTCCTGTGTAGAATGTGGCCATTCTAGATGTACCAGATAACTCAAATATATCAAAGTGTGGCTGGGGTAGGGGGAGTAACAAAATAGGGCAAACAAAGATGTGATTCTTCTTCTCCTTCCCTTTTCTTCTTTCTAATCTCAGTGCAAAGAGATTTCATTTGATTTTGAAAGTTGGCTTTAGCTTGATACTTTGCTCTTTCTTCCTTTTGGCATTTTCATTTATTCATAAACACACGTTATTTTATTATCCCATGTTGCACCTTTGAATTTTTTGTTTTAAAATGCCTACTCTTCTTGGGATGTGTGTTGAAAACACACACACCATAACATCCAAATTGCAGTAAATTAGTTTGGTTAAAGAAAAATCTCTCCCATGCCATCAAAGTTAGAATTCTGCTATATATGATGAGAGGTCATATTCCCATGTACAGTATCTGTATTAGTAAAGACATCTTTTTTGTTCTTCCAGCAGCCCATTAAAATGCAATGGGTGCCAAGGCTGAGAGGTGCCACTATTTCAAAGTGGTTCCTTCTTGACTGGATGATGTTGATGATGTAAATTCTGGGAGCTTTGGTCTGACAGTAACAATCATAAGCTCTTTCAGTCTTATCACAAGACAGAGTGCAGTTTTAAAAATGGCCAATCATGTGATTGGGGATGCATGTATGTTTTTAATATGCTGCGCTTCCTTAGAGCTGCCTTTGTTTCCCCTGAAAGGAAAGAAGAAAGTGTCTCCCGACAAGATGATAGAGATGCAAGCAAAGATTGATGAAGAAAGGAAAGCCCTGGAAACAAAACTTGATATGGAAGAAGAAGAAAGGAACAAAGCCCGAGCAGAACTTGAAAAGAGGGAGAAAGACCTCCTTAAAGCACAGTGAGCACCCTGAAACTAGAACATAACACTTCTATTTATTACATCTGTATCCCACTTTTCTATTAAAACTAGTTCTGGAGTGGATTTGTATAGTGCTTTCAAAGCCCTCCAGGTGTACTAATTATAACCTATGCAATAACTCTGCACGGCCAATATGTGGATCTTCTCTCCCGCCCCCATTCCCCCCATAACATGGTTGAAGGATGAGGCTAAGAGACAGTGGCTTGCCTATGGCCACCAAGGAAGTTCATGACAGAGGTGAGGTTTGAACGGTGAGCTTTCTCAGTAATAGCTCAGCTTTTTAGCCACTAGGCTTTCAAAGCTCAGTAGACATTAGGGTTAGCTGAGACTAGGCTTGGCGAAGTGGGGGAGAATGGATTGGGAATATTCAAAAAATGTTTGGGATAGTTGGCAAATGCAAGCTTCCCCAAGTGCTACATATCCCAACATGCTACATATTACTAGACCAGTATGGTATGACTTACCATGCCCACAGTGGTGTTAAACCCCACTGAGTGGTAGATTGCTGACAACCACCAAATGCAGACCTGATAATTTGTCAATAAACTCCACATTTAAGTTTTCATGTGCCTCATGGCACAGTGGTCAAACAGCAGTACTGCAGCCCAAATTCTGCTTATGACTCAGGTTCAATCCCAGATGGCCAGCTTGAGGTTCACTCAGCCTTCCATCCTTCCATGGTTGGTAAATTGAGTATCAAACTTGCTGGGGATGGGGGGGAGGGCAATGTGTAGCCAACATAATTCAGTTGTAAACCACTCAGAGAGTCCTTTAAGCGGATATTTATGGGTGATATTTATGCAGCACACTTTGCTTTCTGTGTGTACACTCAAAATGCCATTAGTTTTGGGATGTTGCACACTCCAAAGAGCTTGGAAATATACCCAAACAGTATGTGCATAATCTCCTACATGGAGTTGTGTCCCTCGTGTTTCCTGTCTTGCAGATGTTCACTCAGGCTGTGCATTCCAAACTCTCCTTCCTTGCCTAGGTATATGTCTCACATATGTCTCACATCCAGCACACTCTAAATGTATGTTGCAATTGCCCCCCCCCCCGGGCAGTAGAAGGCAGTTATTCATGTCTAAAGAGGCATGATTAATGTCTAAACATTTCTCAGTTTGCTTAGTTCTACAAGAAATGCTGGAGACTTAGAAGAATTAAGCATGGCAGGAAGTTTTTGAATATTCTGTTTTTCTCTTTTTGTAAGAATCTCAGCTGGACTGAGATGTGAGACAGCAAACTCCTGGGCAAAAGAGGATAATTTTTATTCCCTTGCTGGAAAGCTAACATTAAAATATAGCAGTTAGCTTTAAAGGTGTTGCAGCATTTTTGTCTTCTTCATTTTATTTTATTTTTTCATTTTACTTTATTTGTGGCTAAATAAATGTAAGCAACTGTTTAAGACGTGGGTTGTGTGAGTTCTCTAGTCCAAGTGGGCCCTGTAGCTTCAGAATCCTCACGCCAAAGGATTGAGGCTCTTCCTCTCTCTTTACCAAGGCAAGAACACCAGTCTCTGCTGGAGAAACTGTCAGCCTTGGAAAAAAAAGTGATTGTAGGAGGTGTGGACTTGCTGGCAAAGGCAGAGGAGCAGGAGAAGCTCCTTGAGGAATCGAACATGGAACTTGAAGAACGAAGGAGACGAGCAGAGCAGCTCCGTAAGGAGCTCGAAGAGAAGGAGGTGTGATTAGTCTCTTTGATGTTCTGTTGATTGCACTGTTACTAAACAGCACAAATGGTGCTCTCCTTCTTCCTTTGCATATCCTGGTTGTGGTTGCCTGTGCAAATAAACTGTATGTGAAGTGAGAAGTGTCCTCCACTGTGACAACAGATTCTGTTTTAAGATGAGGGTTTGTTCAAAATACACTACGTGCCATTTGTCTGCTCTAGAGTTGCTATGATTGGCTATTGGATGATGGTAGGTGAGGACAGATACCCAAATCTGGGAGCCTCGGGGCTGCATTGAGTCCAGCCAGGGTGCTGCCCTGAAATATAATTCATTTCAGTGTTCTGAAAGCTGTTATAGCCTACAAAAAGTACCATGACTACTGGAGGGAAGTTTTCCAGATGTAATAAAGAAAAAACATGGTGGATTTTTATTCTTGATTAAGGGGCTACTTAACTCTTTGATGGCCATGTTTCTCTATGAATTGAAAAGTCATCACCAGAACTTGAGGCCAGTCAATTTAGATTCCACGGCTTCAGGACCTGCATATAGAAAACTGAGATATCATGGCCTTTTCCATTTCAGCACAAGGGTTCGTTAGGGCATGCAAGATGCAGCCCTCCTTCATGTGTTAGCCATTGCTGGTTAACATTGCCAGATGAAATGGGTTCTTTGGAATAGCTGATATTCTCCGGCAACCACTGACAGAGGATCTCTGCTCTATACTTGCATGAATTTCTAAAAAAAAAGCAGAGTCAGGGGTGGGGAGGTGATGCTAAATAGCATTGTTTCAGCAGCACATAAATAGTTGGGCTGTTCTGGTTAACTTGGGCCATTTCTGGTTATTTGTAAATAGCAAGAACGTTTGGATATTGAGGAGAAGTACACTAGCCTTCAAGAGGAAGCACAAGGAAAGACCAAGAAACTGAAGAAAGTCTGGACAATGCTGATGGCAGCCAAGTCAGAGGTCAGTCTTGTATTCTAGAACTTGTTATGAGGGCAAAGAAAATAGCCAGTCCTATTTCTGGAACAGTGAACAAAGGTACACATATTCATGATCCCTGGAAGAAGAAGAAAAAGCATTATTCACACATTGTTCACTCAGTAGGAAGCAACCATGCACAGATAGGCCATGTGTTCTGTTTAGATTTTCAGGAGTCTATCAATGGTTACGTATGCTAACATATGCTATTATAGCTGCAAGAGAGTGCATCTACGATATTCTGCAAATACACATTCTACAAGGAAATGCTAAAAACAAAGACACACAAAGAATAACAATTTTGAAAATACAGATATTAAGTATATATTTAAAATATATTTTAAAAAGAATACAGAACAAATATTCAGAAGCTCACTCGTGTAAGCTGTGAAATTGCTGTTTTTTGCATTGCGGCTGGAGGCGGTCTTACTTGGTATTAGCAGAACTTTGATCCCTATATCCTTTCGTAGTCTCCAGTTGGTAATTGGTACCTCAGTCATTCCACCCATCTTGCCACTATAACAGTTGCGTGGTAACTTAAAAAAATAACCCACTTCCAAATATGTTAAATGCCATCAAGTCATTTCTGATATGCTGTGA